TGAGAGCAGAGAAACCTAGGTGTATATTGAAGATGGCAGGACAAATTCAGAATGTGATGAATAAAACATTCAACGTCCTAGGCTTTATCATTGCAGTTAATGAGAAATAAATATTGTTAAACTTGTATAAAATATCTGTTAGTCCTCACACTGCACATCACACTGTAGGAAGGACCTGAAGGCATTAGGTGAGGATCAGAAAAGATTTATATGAATGGTTCTGGAGTTGAGGAATGTCAGTTCTAAAAATAGATTGGAGAATTTGGGACAGTTCTCCCTGGAGCAGAGGAACCTGAGAGGAAATTCAAGAGAAATGTTAAAAATCATGAAGGATCTGAATAAAGTAAATAGGGAAAAGCCATTCCTTGACAGAAGGATCAGGAACCAGAGGGCACAGTTTAATTGGCAAAAGAAACAACATTGGCATGAGGAAAAGCTTTTTCACATAGCAAGTGGTTAGGATCAGGAGTGCACTCCCTGAAGATGAAATGGAAACAGGTTCAGCTGAGGCCTTTGAGAGGGAGTTGGATAGTTATCCGAAAAGAAAGAATGTGTAGGGTTATGGAGAAGGCAGGGAAGGGGCATGAGGTGAATTCCTCCTTCAGAAAGCTGACACAGACACAACAGGCTGAACATGTTTTGTGCTATAGTCATTCTCTGATAATGTCCTGCATAGGGAGGTTAGTGTGCAAAATCAAAGCACATGGGATTGGTGGTAATGTACTGGCATGGATTGAAAATTGGTCAGCAGACAGGAGACAGAGAGTAGCAGGTGGTGACAAGTGGGGTTTTGCAGGGATCAATGTTTGGGCCCCAGCTATTCAGAATATATACCAGCAATTTGACAGGGAATTAAACATAATGGGTGGAATCTTATAGGAGTCTGAGTGAAATGGGCTGTGATGAGGTTTGTGGCAGATTCAGGTGAGAAATCCGGTGAAGGCTAGTTTGACATTGGAAGCATCTCACTGCAGTTTTTATGCATTTGCCAAGTGGCAAGGCATGTTTCTTGCTAGATAGTGATGAATTTCCAATTATACCTTGTTGAGCACCTTATAAATGACATATTAATTTTCAGCTCCCTATCTTACCAAACATACTGAACAAGTTTGACATCAAGTAATCAGAGGGAGTACCTACCATCTTCAGCTCGCTGCTGGCTGTGACCCAAGTCCATGTTGCTCAGCATTAAACAGCATCTCAGTACATGATCCACAGGCACCAGACACACAGACACCCCTCATCCATGAACATTGGCATCCAGCATTTGCACCTCTCTGATCCACTTGCAGGCTGTTTAGGAGACACAAACTTAAATTGTAGGCTGCATTGGTAACTAGTGTTGAAAGATGGAGCAGGGACACCTTACACACATAGACAGGCATCCAGCACATAGATAGAGATAGTAGGAACTGCAGATGCTGGAAAATCTGAGATAACAAGGTGTAGAGCTGGATGAACACAGCAGGCCAAGCAGCATCATAGGAGCAGGAAGGCTGATTTTTCGGTCCTAGATCCTTCATCAGAAATTTCTGTTGAAGGGTCTAGGCCCGAAATGTCAGCCTTCCTGCTCCTATGATGCTGCTTGGCCTGCTGTGTTCATCCAGCTCTACACCTTGTTATCTCAGCACATAGATAGGACCAGCTGCCTTTCAGGGCTGTTCATTTGCTGTCTTTGCACCCATTCACTTTGCACCTACCTGTATGCTCGCAGCATCCATGCTGTGATCTGCCTGTTAGACATTGGTGCTTCAGCCAGAGCCAAAGCTATCAGTACTGTTGTATCAACATGCCGTTTTGCACAGATTCACATACAGGCTGCTTATCATACTTGTCACAGGAATCTGTCCACAGGGTAGTGGGAAATACCTTGATGTACAGTATATCAAAATATCAGTTTAATACTTACAGTACGTCCCGTTTGATTGTGTGATATGTGTGTACAAACGAATGGCCGTGTTGGAAAGTGGGTGTGGGATGGAATTCAGTCCTGTCATGGGGGGAGGGTGTGGGGTGCTCTAAGTCAGGAGGCCCTGGTGCCCGTCAGTCAGGGGACATGGTCACTTGTCAGCATGGGTCACTCACTGTCAGTCAACCTGTGTGACTACATTCTGTGGGATAGGACCTGCACTAGCACCCAGCAGAGAGTTGTGTATCACCAGCTGGAGAACTTCAAAGACAAAGGTGGGTGTCTGGCCAGTGATGTCAGAGGGTGCTGCTCATTGAAGTTGGCCAGTGATCTGGGGCAAATATAGCCCTGGGTGTCTCGTTGTTAAGGAGGGTGCAAAGGGAGACTTTATGGGCAATGCGAGAGAGAGGGGGAGGGGGGGATCACTGTTAAAAGAGAGCAGGGATATGGCAGGGATAAAATGGCAGGGATAAAACAGGTATTTCTCAAGAGGGAGCAAGGACATGGTGGATACAGGTACAGTTACAACATTTAAAAGACAACAGAAAGCTGTAACATTGTGGTTGAAGGGGCAGGGCAGACAGTTGGAGGTGAAATTTGATGTGGTGCGTTTTCACATTGGAGAATGGCTGACACGTCTCCACCCTATTTTCAGAACTGAAATTTCTCAACTATGGAAACGTTCTTGTGAATCTTTTTTGAACCTTAGCTAATGTCTCCGACAGCATGATGTGCAGTGCAAAGCAAAAACACACAGGAATGGCACATGGTAAGATGGGGATAGAATCAGATGTAAACAGTGCCATAGAGACTGGGTAGGTAGTTAATGAGACTCATTTGGTAAGATACTGTAAGACATCTTGCTGGATTTCACAGAGAGAATCTCTCCAGAAAACTTGCTGCAACTTTCTTTGCCAAAAAGATGGGAGATCTAGCCCTGTATTTTCAATTTTGCTGGTAATACAATACCAGGTGGAATTTATAAGGAGGATACAAAGAGCTTTCAAGGCAATCTAAACAAGTTGAGAGAGTGGGCAAATGTGTACCAGGTGCATTATACTATAGGTGCGTATAACATTGTCCATTTTGGTAGGAAAAACAGAATGGTAGAGTATTATTTAAATGGTAATAGATTGGGAATTGCCGATGTCTGAAGTGATCTGTGTTTACTTGTGCACTGGTAATTGAAAGTAAATTAGAATGGTAGATGATAAGTTGGCGTTCATTGCAAGACGGTTTGAATACAGGAACAAAGAATTCTTGCTGCAGCTATACAGGGCCTTGGTGAGACCACAGCTGGAGTTAAGGAATGTCTTAAAGACTCAAGCCAAGCAGAGAGGTGTAGTGAGAAGAATTTCAGAACTTAGGTTCCAGACAACTGAAGACGTGGCTGCCAGCAGTAAATCAATGATAAGTGGCAATATACAAGAGGCCAGAATTAGAGGAGAGCAGAAATCTAGGGTGGTTATGAGGTTACAGGACATTACAGAGTAGATCAGTGAGCATAGGGATAGTAGGGAAGCAGGGATATAAGACCATAAGACATAGGAGCAGAAATTAGGCCATTCGGACCATCAAGTCTGCTCCGCCATTCAATCATGGCTGATAAGTTCCTCAACTCCATTCTCCTGCTTTCTCCCTGTAACCCTTGATCCCTTTGATAAACAAGAACCTATCTATCTCAGACTGTCTACGACATATGCAGCTAAGTTTTGGATGATCTCAAGTTTCTGGAAGGGAGAATGTGGGAGACCAGCGAGGAATTCATTGGAATAGTTTGCTTTAGAGGTAACAAAGAACAGAATGAGAGTTTCAATCACAGCTGAGCTGAAATGGGCAAATTGTAACGAGATTAAATAGATCCCATAACAGTTGAGATAAAGAATTTGTGATGATAAATTAGCAGGGTTCACCTAGTTTGTCTTTTATCAATCTCAAAATTGCCCAAATGTCTGATGATAATGGTGATGTTGACTAATCAGAGCAATAGATCTCCATCAATAAGTCTACAACAGATGCAAGGTGAGGAAGACTCCCAGTGATTGAGAGTTTTGGGAACCATAGGTTCAAAGTCACCTGTTTCTCCCAGACATGATATGCTCAGTACACATTTCCAATTGCTGGTATCCTGAGATTTGAACCCTGACCATGCTCTGTCTGTTGGTGTTATGGTCATTTCAGTGCTAGTGAAAAGTTAGAGTAAATCAGTTCATGGTGCCAGAGCCTACTGAGCTTGTAGGTACAGGCTTGAATCTCAGAACATGGCAGAGTCAAAGGAAATCATGATTAAAGGCTGCTAAGTGTAATATCACATTCCTGTGTGAATGAAATTTCAACCTTCTGATCATCATCAAGTAGGGGCTCTGGGAATTGCCTCTGGGAGTTCCTCCAGTGGACTAGGAATGTCAAAAACAGTTTCCTGTAAATTATGAGTGCCAAGAAATGCATCCTGGGGACCAGGACGATTGGAAGGCATACCCTGGGACCTGGGAAAATCATGCGTTGTTTCCCTGGAACTGGAATACTGAGAACTGCTCATCAGGGATTGGGAGTGTCAGACAACACTCCCAGAGAACTGGGTATATCAGGAACTATTTCCCAAGCGTTGAGAACTGCACCATGTATACTGGGAGCTGTACAGTGGTAATTGGGACTATCAGATGGTTCCCCCTACTGGGAACCCTTCCCCAGTGACCAAGAATGCCAGAAGCTACATCAGAGAATCTGGGAATTTCAGAAAGTGCCACCAAGGAATTTGGAATATTGAAAGTTCCTCCAGAACTGGGATTATTGAGAACTGCTCGCAATGAACTGGGATGTGAATGAGGTTCCTGAGGTGAGACAATTGATCAGACATTTATTTGTAGATAAACAGACACACCAACACTTACTCAGGGTGCTTGGGATGGTTAATGATGACAGTCTTAGCAATAATACCCACCTCTTTCAAAAATGAGTCAAATGCAGGTTTTGGTATTCATTTAATATTGAAATGTTTCCTGCTAGAATGAGCGGGGAGTTAGCTGGGTCACGTGTGCGCCCATGAGACTTTATTATAATCTAAAACCCACCTTCGTGTGTTTTCCTGTAGATGCCTGTGGTCTTTCGGATCCCACCCATGTAGAGAATCTTCAGGAAAAATGCCAGTGTGCCCTGGAGGATTACACCCGCAACCAGTACCCCAACCAACCCAATCGCTTTGGCAAGCTGCTGCTGCGGTTACCTTCCCTGCGTGTGGTTTCCTCCCCTGTCATCGAGCAATTGTTCTTTGTGCGTCTGGTGGGTAAGACCCCAATTGAAACTCTTATCAGGGACATGCTGCTGTCTGGTGCCAGCTTCACCTGGCCTTACATCCCGATCCAGTAATAGGGCAGACAGTGGGAGGAAGTGCTTAACAGGGCTTTGCTGCAAAGACATTTTGACCAAGAGATCGGACAAGAACTAACCTGGATTTTAAAGCAGTTTTGAGCTTTCCTGTGGGCTGGGGTCTTAAGGCCTGTTGATATTGGATGACAGGGGACACTTCTTTCCATATGATGAAACTTTTCCTGGAGTCAGAACTTTGGTAACATGCAATGCTGGAGCAAGGGATATCAAGCCCAGTTTTGAATAAACCTAAATGAATTGAAATGAATGAGCGTGCCTTTATAAAATTATGATATCAATATTTGGAAGATTTTATGAAAAACTTGGATTTCTTGCTACCTTTTGAATCCCAAGATATGCCAACTACGTTTACAGCCAATGAACGAAATTCCTGTTGTAATGTAGTTAGTTAAGCAGCCAGGACATGCTCCCTAAACAGCAATGAACAGTGGCAGGGGGTGCAGGATGTGTTAACTTGTTGATTTTGGTCAACTTGATGGTAAGTATGAGCTTGGACTTGGAAGAGAGTCCAAACCTCTGCTATAGTGCCACAAATTTTTGATGTCCATGTGAGAGAGCAGTTTAGAACATCATCAGAAACAAGCTCAAAACAGAGTGCTGTGATCATTCAGTATTGACTCTCTGACAATGTGGCACTCCTTCAGCACTGATGCTCTGTCACTGCGGTGCTCCCTGAGTGCCGATCCTTTGAAAGTGTGGCACTCCCTCAGTGCCAACCCTCTGACATCCCTCAGCCTGGCATTTATGGGTGTGATAGTGAAGATGTTAGTCGACATTAAAGCTGTTGGTGTGATATCGGAGCTCTTGGTGTGATATTGAAGCTCTTGGTGTGATATTGAAGCTCTTGGTGTGATATTGAAGCTCTTAGTGTGATATTGGAACTGTGGGTTTGGTATTGAAGCTGTTGGTGTGATATTGGAGCTGTGGGTGTGATATCGGAGCTGTTGGTGTGAAACCGGAGCTGTGAGTTTGATATCAGAGCTGAGGGTTTGATATCGGAGCTGTTGGTGTGATATTGGAGCTGTGGGTATGATATTGAAGCTATTGGTGTGATATTGAAGCTGTGGGTTTGATAGTGAAGCTGTGGGTGTGATAGTGAAGCTGTGGGTGTGATACTGAAGCAGTGGGTGTGATAGTGGAGCTGTGGGTTTGATAGTGGAGCTGTGGGTG